GTGCCTGGAAGAGAGTGAGCGTGGAGAAAATGGAGAGGAGAGTACCTGTGAGGTAGCCAGGAAGTACACTTTCATGGGCTTTGTAGGTCATGGTGAATTTTATCCTAATGAGATGGGAAACCGTAAAGAACTTTGACTGAGAAGTGATAAATCAATTCGATATTTTAAGACAGGGGTTATAAATAGTTTGTTGTTGCTCTATGCCAGCGGTTCTCAACCTGTGGGTCAAGACCCCTTTGGGGGTCAAATGACTCTTTCACAAGGGTTGCCTAAGACCATCTGCAAGGCGATCTCCAGTGGCCAACAAGTGGGCTTTGTGTCTCCACTCAGCACCCCCCCCCCCATTTACTATGACATGATTTTTTGTCATTGTGTGCTTGTTTTAAAGGCAGGGTTCTCCATCAGTTCCACCCACTTTCAACAGTGAGCTAATGACCACAGAGACTAGGTGGAAAGGGCAATATCTCAGTCCGAATGGAAAGGGGGTCATTTTGATGGCAACATCCCAAAGGGTTCATTTTTCCATCGCAAACCCTGGGCCAGTCCTAACGCCGATGCCAGACTCTGTCCCATGTTAACAACTCAGCCATCCCAGGGCAAAACCAGCCGATGACCAGGCTCTCCTAGCGTTGGGGGACATACAATCGTGAGCCAACGAATCCCTTCTTCCCTCCCATTCGGCGGGGCCCGAAAAAAGAAACCGTTTTGAACAGGACACCAAATGCTTCCAGAAGGAGCTTCTTTACCGAGAACTCCCTCCCTCCCGTTTGCTACAGGAGGAGTGACCTTCACCTGACATTGATCCACTTCTTCTGTTTCCCTCCCTCCCTCGAATCCCACCTTCAACTATCACGTCGATGGCTGGCGGTGGATGAGACTTAAGAGCAGAGCGCTGTGGTAGCGTCTCTATCCATCGGGTGCCACTGAGAGCAGATGACAGCCGTGTAATGGCTGTGACACCCTCCCCCAAATGATTCCCTTTTCCCTAGACGGTATCCTGGACCCCACTGATCAAACTGGTGCGCTGGGAAGCACAGTGACGTGGAAGCCAGATAGGAGTTGACAAGGTAGTCTGGCACGGAGGATTTGCTCTCTAAACTCAATTTCCTCTGGGGAGTCGCTCCTCTCTGCTGGCTTAGAAAATGGATTGAGCAAACTGGCTGCACACCCATTAACCCAGGAAATCACAGTGCCTGTCCCAGAGAAGCCTCGTGGAGGGGGGAATTGGAGGGGAGGGGCACGTAGCAGCGCGTAAGGCAGTGGGTCCCCTTCCTATCTCCCCTCTTACAGGAACACCAGAAAGCGTTTGCCTCGGGACATTTCTGTGGACACTCACCACCTTGAACCCTGCTTTTCTCCGCTCAGGTGGCGTGTCCGGAGCTGGTGAGGTTCCCGACGATGGGCAAGGCTGGAGTGCGGAGAGGATTTGAGGACAACAACTACAGAGTCCCCTTAGCAGAGCTGTGGAGTGTGACAATGGTGTTTGTATTCACATATCAAACGCCATTATCACACTAAATAGCTACTGCTAGGCAACGCTCCCACCGGATACCCACCTTGGCACCTGTCTGGTGCAGGCAAGAGAGGTTCATCTGCTCTCGGGGCTCTGGACATTCACAATCACTGGGTCAATGGCAGTATGTCTGTGCTGGAAACAACCTGTCTATCTGGATCCAGCTGTCGCCTGCTGATGTAATGTCATACCCTAACAGATGGTGAACTCTTTTGTCATTTTTTCCCAAGCCAATAAAATGTCAGCAGGGACCCTCAGCTCAGGGGGAGGCACGTGGGACCCTCTCACTCCAGGAATGGGGGGATGAAACAAGCAGCCAGGAAAGCGCTAGGTAAAGAACACTACAAGCAATCGAGGTGATTCGAACTGCCCACAGAGAGCTACCCCAGGAAGGTGGGTGGGTCCTCCCTGCCCCACCAGAAACAAAGGCACTTCGGTGTGGCTTCCCTGCCTTTTCAGAGAGTCTAGCGTGTGTTCGGCACGTCTACTGATCTTCCTCGGCGACCAAGCTGATTCCCGAATGTGTGTGCTAGGTTCGGCTCCCTTCTGTCTCCGTGAATCTCCATGAGAAACTCACACCTCAGCCTGTCCCAGCAGTGGAAGCTCACGCAGTTGCTGGGGCAGTCGGATCCCTTGGGTGGTCTGGCTTGGTGCAAAGGAGCTCTGGGAGTGAGTGCTCAGAGCAGGGCCTGGGTGAAAGCCGGAGACTCTTGCCCTGGGGTCACCTGAAACCTCACCCCACAGATAGGCCTTCTTAAAACCAAGCAGTTGCTTAGTTCAACTGGTTTAAAAATCAACATCTGCTGCGAGCGTTCAGTTCCTCCAAGGACTATGTGAGATCCCGGGACAACAGCTCCTGGAAACAGCCCGGAACCTTGGGGGCAGCGGCTTCGTGGAGATGGGGGAGGAGCAGCTCAGAAAGGGAGGGTGAGAACAATGACACAACTCAGGGGCCGTCATCAAATTTGCTGCGTCTATTCTCCACGATGAGAAATAAAATGATGAAGAGATAACAAAGTCAGATAGGGTCCTCGCACTCGATTGGGGGACTGTCTTCATTGTTCTCGTTTTGCGTATTACATTCTAATGCGTAACACTTTCCAAAATAACTCAAAGTCCCTTGCTTTAGCATTGCGTGGGTGAAGCTCACCCACCCACAATGAGCAGCAAAGCTTTGGGATTCAGGGGAAGCTTCACTCTCCAGGATGCCCCGCACCCTTCCAACTCCCAGGGCTCTCATCCTGGCATCCGCTGTGGGCGAGAGGAGACCTGGCCCTCCCTAGCATAATGTGTATGTCGGTTGCCTTTATGTCTAGAGTGAGCACTGATTGAATGGCATTTACACAGGAGTCGACTGCCTGGCAGATCACTCCCCGCACATGATCCATACAACACAAAGATGACAGATTCCACAGATGGTAAACGGAGACGCAGAATATTCTGGAATTGGCAAGTCGTGTGATCATGACTCAACAGGGCTCTCAAATCTAATTCACTGCTCTCGAATCCATTCTGCCTCCTAGCAACCGTCTCGAACTGAGAACTTCCCCCTTGAATTTCCCAGACTCAGGCCAACGCGAGTGCCCTCCTCCCCTGTACACCCTACTCACTCAAACTCCCAGTCAGATGGACTTTCTCAGAAGCAAAGTGAAGGACAGGGTAAGGCTTTTCGGCCAGGAGGTTGAGTCACGTGGAGGCATATGCTGTTTCCTGCCTGTCTTTGCCCTGTACCCGAGCATGGAGGAGCATGGGGAATCTTCGGCCGCTCTCCTTTCAAAGCAGCTCTCTTGGAATCCTGAGGCTGTACAAGTCCGGCTCAGCTCCTCCCCCGCCCACCTTCCACTTACTGGCAAGATCAAAGTCCTCTGAACATGCACTTAGCATCACACTAGCTGGGAGCTGGCAGAGGGCTCTCCTGCAACTGGCAGGCATACATTAGGCCTCTAATTCAGGGGGTTTTGTGCACAGGTCAAGGCAAGGGGCTAGTTGCATTCTTCTGCAGATGGAGATCTAGTTTTTCCGCACTGCTTGTTGAAAAGGATGTATCTTTCCCATTGAATAATTTTTGGTCCTTGGTTGAAAATCAGTTGCCTGCAGGTGGATGCTTTTATGTCTGGGTTTTCTATCCTGTGCTGTAAGCATGGGCTTACATAATACTCTCACCTGCTAATCACCACATCTGATGTGGTGGAGAGCCTGTGAGACTGACCCACGGGTAGGTAGCCCATGCTGACCTTGCTCCCTGGGAAATCCGATTCAAGGCGGGACCGCTTTCAGGGTCTGGAGGCGTGTTGGGCACCTCTGTCCTATGAGTGCAGCCTGGGCTGGGGCTCACAGGCCATGCCATTGAAAGCCATTCCCTCCCGGCTCCCTCTTCCCCTAGCACTAAAAGCCTGCCCCACAGCCACTAGTTGCCTGTCTCATAGCCACTCAATGTTCCTGGCTTAGCATAGGCTCAAGGAAGGAGCTGGCTACAAACCCCTCACAGAAGCTCCCAGAGCCTGGAGAAGGCTCAGAGACAGGTCATTCCCACGCTCATTCACATCTTCCCTTTCGTACCCAACTTCCAATCTCTCTGTTGGAAGGAAGGGTCCCAAGGCATAGTCTCACAACTGTAGGTGACTGCCCCAGACCCGATGACCTGGCCACCAAACTGCCTAACCTAGAAGGCAAGGTACCCAAAGTGACATCATGACACACCTCAATTGTAAACATGGCACCCAGGAGGCAGAGATGAAGGAGACACGTGTGTGCTTATCCACTCACTCTACAGCACACAACCTTGAGCTCCTACTGGGCCACCGAGAATTCAGCCTTGGGTCTGATGCTCTCCCTGGGGCCCATCTGCTGACAGATGGCTGGGAACACAGCCAGACAGGCTAGCAGAGCATGGTGGAGCGCAGAGCCCATGGAGAGGTCCTGGATAAGGAGCGACAGAAACGTGGGACAGAACAATAATAACTTTAAAAGCCAGGTTACTGGCCTGATAGCCCTTAGATGATGGTTCTCAGATGCCCATCAGTCCTGGAACTGCCCTCAACTCAGAGGCAAACAGTAGGACAATCCCTGCCCTCCTTAGAACACTCTGAGACCCAGAGGACAGTGTTTGTTGGGGTGGGGGGACAGGGAATAGGAAAGAAAGAGCAATGGAAAGGGTTAGCCCAGGGTCCAAGGAGGAAGGGTGCTGCCCCATTATGGGCTTGCAATCAATGTCACAAAACAACGTGTGGGTGAGTTGTGGAACGCAAGGCCAATGTGCTCTCTAAACGTTGACCCACATCACAATAAAACATTTCTAAAAAGCAGCAGCCAAAGAATGGTTCTGTAGTATGGTGGAGGCTGACCTCTTCCGAGACAGATTTGTTTGTTCTTTGGGCCGTCCGTGGTCCTTCCAGTAGTCTCCACCTGCACTAATTCAGACACATCATTCTCCTTCGTCTTCCTTATTCAGTGCCAGCTTTCACCTGCTTGAGATGACTGAAGGGCTTGGGTCAGGTGTACCTTAGTCCTCAAAGTAACCTCCCTGCTTCTCAGCCAATCCGGTGGGAACTTTGAGAGGGAAGACTGGCCAGGGCCTCTGCTTCCCTGGCCTGGGATGACCCAGCTCCAGCCACCCTCCCGGAGCCTGCCACCTGCCACCCTCTGTTCCTCATTCAAGAAATTGCAGGGTGAGTATCACCGTGTGTGGGGACCGAGGCATACGGAGCGATCCTATCTCTGTCCCTAGGAGAAGAGATTCAACCATCAGTCACTTCCAAGGGCAAGGAGACACAAGTATCAGTGGCTATGAGACATGGGGGCTTAAGGAGGACTTTCTAGATGAGGGGACATCTGAGTGGAGACTTGTAAGACATGTAAAACATCTTCAGACAGAACAAGAGGCAGAGCAGCCCTAGGATAAGCTTCCAGGGTGCTAGTGTGTAGAATCCCCCTTAGAAGGGAACAAGGCTTGTTACACCTCAGGCTGCTAACCGAAAGACCCACAGTTCGAAACCACCAGACGCTCAGTGCGACAGAGGAGCCTTTCTACTCCTGTAGAGAGTGACAGTCTCAGAAACCCTCAGGGGCAGTGCTACCCTGTCCTATAGGGTCAGTGTATTAGTCTGGGTAGACTAGAGAAGCAAAATTCATAAACACTCATAAGAGTTTTATTTAGAGGGTAAGTGTACATTAAGAAAGCATCCCAACCCAGTGCTGTCCAAGCCCATAAGTCTGCATTAGCCCATATGCTCAACACCAATCTACAAAGTCCTCCTCCATCTCACAAAACACACGCAATGACGCCAATTGCTGGAGGAAAGCCAAATCAGTGGGCGTGTAAGCCTCGAATCAGTGAGCGTGTAAGCATCTCAGCGCTGGCAGGGGTCTCCACACGGCTGCTCCAGCATCCAGGGCTGCATCAGAGGCGGTCCATGTTTCTCCTCAGGGATGTCTTACAGAGAACTGGCTAAGGCAGCCACACACGGGTCCGACCATCAGAGAGCAAGAGACCAGAGAGGTGAGGCTCACGGAGCCATTTATCCCTCTGCCATTTGATCAATCCCACATGTGTCCATCGGCCAGGTTGGCACAGTAAACCTTAACTATCACAGCTGGTGTGCGTCAGAATTGACTCCCTGGCAGGGCATGAGACTAGTAACATTTATGGATGGAACTGTGTCCCCCTCAGCCCCCATCCCACGCAATACTGATCACCTTCCGCCAAACAACCTAATGCAAGGTTAGTGAGGCCGAACCCTTAGCTGAGCAGAGCCACAGACAGGGAAACAGGGCTCACGCTGCCACGTGATGACACTCAGGGAGTTAAGATGCCAAAAGCCGCAGGAGCCACCGAGGCAGCCTGCAACCAGGACCTTGGCACAGAGCCCTCAAAGCCCTAGAAGACTGGGTTTGGACTCCTCCTCCTGTGAGGAAACGCGTTTCTGTTCGTCAAAGCCACCCTCTTGCGGTGCGTCTGTTCACCAGGACAGTCGGTGAGGACAGACGCAAACCCAAGGGCTCCCGGGGCCTTCGGGCCCGCGAGGCGCTCCGGAGGGGGACGAAAAGGGCCAGGCCAGGCGGAAGCACACCTCCGGGGCTACAGCTGCGCTCCTAGGAGCAGCAGCACCACCTGTGGCAAGTGCTGCCTTACCTGGGAGCTTGGGAGAAATGCAGGTGATCTGGCCCGCCCCCTGGGGGTGGGGCCAGCAGCCTGGTTTTCATAAGCCCTCCTGGGCTCGCAGTCTGGCCCACTGTGGAGCTCATTAGAATTTAATGAACTGTAATGAGAAAATGACTCAGCGAATCAATCACCCAATTACTCTGACTTGGAATAAAAGAACCGGCCAATGTTCTCAGCCTCGGTTGCACATGAGGGTCAGTCCGAGAGCATTAAACCCCTCAGTGCCCCGACCAGGTCTCAGTCAAATCACTCCCAGGCCCCTAAAGAGAACCTAAGCCCTGGCATTGTTATTATTTTTTTAGTTCGGTTTGAAGCTCTAGGGGAGAATCTAGAGTCAGTAAGCATCAGCAGAATGACTTCCCTCGAGTTGAAGCTACTCCTTCTACAGATGGTGGGGCGGTCCCAAGAGAGGAAGAGCCTGCCGAAATCACCCAGCTAGCTACAGTCTTGGGGCGCTGACCATAGAACCCAGGCCTTCCACCCTCCGGCTCTTCACTTTCCTCTGTCCGGTCCAGCTTTGGAGTCCCTGTGGGGTGGGGGTAGGGGTGGTATGAAAGTTAAGGAGCATCACTGCTAATGGAAAAGGTGGAGGTTACAATAGTCTTCACCAGCACCTCATTCAAACACATCAGTTCTTCTTTGGTATTGTTTATTCTATGTCCAATTTTTTATCTATAGAAATATGTGCTTGTGTGTGTTAGTCTAAGTGGACTAGAGAAACAAATCCAGATAATATTCATATGTGTGTAAAACAGAGCTTTATATCAAAGAGCAATAGTGTACTTAGAAAACACCACAGCCTGACCCAGATCAAGTCCATAAGTCTGATATTAGCCCATATGCCTGATACTATTCTATAA